GCTTCTGCGTTTTCTCCAGCGAGCTGTAAGTCGCGTCTCTCAATAGGAGGAACAGCACTACGCTACAATCATTCTCACGTGTCTGCGGAAATTGCGCCGCACGGCCCTGCAGCATAGGTGGCTTCCCTCCCCCACCTTCAATTTTATTTTAGATGCGAGAGACTCCCGATTTTCCGGGCGACGCCGGCCCCTCCCCGCTCCCCGCCCCGCCCCGCCCCGGGTGTCGCCAAGGCCCGGAGAGGCGGATTCCTGCGGGGCGCGCGTCCCGCCGCCGGGTCGGGGCCGCGGTCCCCAGAGGCGCGGCTGGTCCCTCCGCCTGTGCCCGTCCGCGCCCCGCAAGCCGGCCGGGCAGCGCCACGCCGGCCCGCGGAGCTGGGCGGGAGCCACTGGGCATGCTCGGCCGGCCGGGCGCCTCGGGTCGCTCGTCACCACGTCCCGGCGGCTGCGGAGACGCGTCGCACGTGGACCGGGCGCCCCGCCGAGCCGCGCTGGGCTGGCTGCGGGCTCACTTACCTAGTGAGTCATAGCCAGATTTCCTCCCAAAATATTGCAATTCGAAATCATTTTTTAAACGTTAGTTTTATGGCACCTCGAAAATCACATTTTAGCTCAAAATAATTTTTCAGCCTGTCTTCCAAGAAAAAAGAACCTTTCTTTTTAAGTATTTGATAAACATTTTTGACAACTGCACTGGAGCACTGAGTTCTACCTCTTTTATTGAATATCATAATCTGCGTCCCTGCTCTCAAATCAGTCCGCGGTAGTACACTCCTCTTTCCTCGCGGGCACCTCCGCATTTCCTCCCCCTCTGAATTCCCCCACAACCTGCAAGGTGCGCTCCTGCTGTCTCGGAGACACTTGAGGTGCGTGTGGGGCCTCCATTTGCTTTTTATCCTCATTTGCAGAGGAGACGACTGGAAGGGAGGAAATCTGCGCGGAAGAGATTTCAGACTTGCGATCAGTAAACTCGGGAGCCCAGGCAGAGCCCTTCCCTGAGCCCAGGAGGGCGAGAGGGGGTCGCTGTCGTCTGGGAGCAGGCGGGCAGGCAGGGGAGCCGCCCAGGGGCCCGTGGGGGTGGGAGACGGCCTCAGTGACCCTGCCCGGCCCCACGTGGCTGCAGACACCCCTGTAGAGGAGGGTCACTCCTGGGAGAGTACGTTTCCTTGGCTGCCTCCCCTGGAATCCTAGCTCGTGCTGGGTGCGCCGCACCCACGTGCGGAGCTTTGGGGATCCACTGTTGCGGGCATGCCCAGCGCCCCGCGCTGGAGCTTGCGGGACATAGACATCCACACCACCAACGTCTGGCCTGGGAAAGGACGAGCAAGATGTCTTTCCACACACTCTGCTGCCACTTCTGTCGCCGGAGCTCTCTGCTCCCCGCGCGAACCTCCTGTCATCCTCCCATCTCTCTGTTCCTTCTCATGCTCCTTCTCCACGGGGGTTCCGTGGGCTCCTCCCTCCTGCTGTCCCCGAGTGCTGTGGTCCAGGTGACCGTCAGTGCCCGGTGGTGTTCGCCAGTGAGGCCATGCAGTTGGTTGTCCATTGCTGAGTCCTCGCTGGTGGGTCGGGCACGTGGTCTCACTGGTCAGTGTCTACCATTAGTCCATGCTGGCTGCTAATATTTTGATTGCCATCTTTGCCCCAAGCCACGTCGTCTCCTCCGCGTTTCCCCAAGTTAGATTAGTCTCGGGCCAGTGTCCCTCATATCCCATACCCTAGCCAATCCAAATTACCTGCCCCGTGGGCTCGTGCCTCCACATGCCTGCTAGTCCTTCTGTCTTTCCTTCCCTGTGGATCACCTGGCAGACTGGTCAAGCCTTCCAGGCCAGTTCAGGCAGGATGTCCGTGATCTTCCCAAGGTGGCTGCTGCTTGAATACTCCACCTGTCTCCATGTGACACCCAGCCTTGACCGGCTCTCCCTCTCTCCCCCGCTGCACTGCAGGCAACCTGATGGCAAGGGCCGTCTGTGTCCCAGCCATCCTGGTGTCTTTGTTCGCAGTCCTCAGTAGTACTTTACTTAATAAATGAATGACGAGGCTGGGCGCGGTGGCTCACGCCTGTAATCCTAGCACTCTGGGAGGCCGAGGCGGGTGGATTGCTCAAGGTCGGGAGTTCAAAACCAGCCTGAGTGAGACCCTGTCTCTACTAAAAATAGAAAGAAATTAATTGGCCAACTAATACATATAGAAAAAAAAATTAGCCGGGCATGGTGGCGCATGCCTGTAGTCCCAGCTACTCGGGAGGCTGAGGCAGGAGGATTGCTTGAGCCCAGGAGACTGAGGTTGCTGTGAGCTAGGCTGACGCCACGGCACTCACTCTATCCTGGGCAACAAAGTGAGACTCTGTCTCCAAAAAAATAAAAATAAATAAATAAATGACGAACACGTTGTGCCCATATGATATTTAAAGTTCATGAATTCTTAAAAATTCGTCTTGAGAATTGTAAATAGATTGCAAAGAACCAAAAACTACCGGAACAAAGTCGCAGCACACGCAACCTGCCGAATGGTTGTGCTCCTTTCGGTGACGCGAGGCCTCAGGTTTCACCTCCTGAAGCCCAGAGCCTTTTCTTCGGCTTCAGAAACCAGGAGGCGCTGGGGAGCCGCCCTGCGCACTTGCTTTATTGGTCTGTGACCGCGTGGAGCCCAGCTTCGCGTGGGTGATTAGCCCCGGGTTCCACTGCTCTCTCACGGCGTTTCCGTGCACAGTGGAGTTGTAACCTTCTCGTTATGCGGTCACTCCTTGGAATAGCTTTTGTTTATTTTTTCTGTTGAGAGCAGGGCACCCCCGGAGGGCGGATGAGCCATTTAGGAATTACCCCTGGGGACTGGGTGGGTGTGTCCTGCCATCCTGGGACTGAGCAGATGGGCAGGCAGGGTGGCCGCGTCCGCGGGTTGCTGGGAACCGCCTGTCTCTCCTGGTCATTTTTGTAGGTTTATCAGCTCAAATTTTGGTCTGAGAGCACCTGAGACTAACTATGGGGGCCCAGGGGCGGCGATCACCTGCTTCGGAATCACCTGACGATGACGAGCCGGTCCCAGACCTCTCCGGAAGGAGTGCTCTGCTGGGGGCAGTGACTTTTAACCAGCCCCCGGGAGATCCCACACGCTCTATTTGAAAAAACAACTGTCAGTCACGTGGATAAAAGGACAAACAGCACCTGTCAGCCCACAGCTCAAGCGCGGCCCGCTGGGCCGGTTCGGTAGAGAGGGATGTGGGTGGGAGGGGTCTGTCCAGCCAAGAGAAGTGTCACCGGCGTTGGTGCTTCCTCCCTAGCCTGGGCCTGGGCGGGCTCTGCAGGACACACGAGAGCGGCCTGCTAGAGCAGCTGCTCGTTTTCCCACCTGCTGCGCCTCTCCAGATGCCAACCTCTTTCCTGAGCTCTGCAGCAAAGGGGGCGCTGGACGCCCCGACATCACGCCTTTCCTGGAAGAGGACCGCAAGAGGCTCTCGATCCTGCACGAGGCTTTCCTGGCTCCCGGGAGTTGGAAAGAGCACAGCGGGAAGGGGCTGGGGAAGAATGGCGGGAAGCACGTACTCTCCCGAGTCTGTGACTTGCTGGCCTTGAGAAGGCGAGTCAGCGCTGCCCGAGGAAGACATTCCCCTTCCTCCTTTTGGGTTTGGTCTCAGCATCGATGCTGGCCCTTTGGAGGTGGTGTGCACGCGTGTGGTTTAACCCATTATCCAGCTGCAAGAATCGGGGGATCAAATGCGAGGCCTGCGATGCCTCAGGGTCAGAAGCCCCAGCATGAAGGGCCACACCCGCCGGAGCCCACCAAAGCCCTTTTACCCGGGGCAGTTCGCCAGCCCGGGACACACTCGCGCCATCACAGCCGAGCCTCCCGCCCTGCAGGGCTTCATTCCAGACAATGACCTAGATTTAGGGACGTAGATTATTGGCAGCAGACAGATGCATCCAGAACTTTGCCTCCTGTGTGTAGGGTGGGATTTCCTGACGGGTGGGTGGGTACTTGCACGGGAAGGTTAGAGGAAGGAACCCCTGGTGAGAGAGGAATAAAATAGTCCTGGAGACCCTGACTAGGGAGCTGGCTGGGCTCTAGAGGGTCCCCTTGTAAAGAACTTGGCCCGGCACGGTGGCTCACGCCTATAATCCTAGCACTCTGGGAGGCCGAGGTGGGCGGATCACTCAAGGTCAAGAGTTTGAAACCAGCCTGAGCAAGAGTGAGACCCCGTCTCTACTAAAAAAAAAAATTAAAATAAATTAATTGGCCAACTAAAAATATACAGAAAAAATTAGCCGGGCGTAGTGGCACACGCCTGTAGTCCCAGCTACTCGGGAGGCTGAGGCAGGAGGATCGCTTGAGCCTGGGAGTTTGAGGTTGCTGTGAGCTAGGCTGATGCCACAGCACTCACCCAACCCTGGCAACAGAGCGACACTCTGTCTTCAAAAAAAGAACTGGGGCCGGGCGCGGTGGCTCACGCCTGTAATCCTAGCTCTCTGGGAGGCCGAGGCGGGCGGATTGCTCAAGGTCAGGAGTTCAAAACCAGCCTGAGCAAGAGCGAGACCCCGTCTCTACTATAAATAGAAAGAAATTAATTGGCCAACTGATATATATATAAAAAATTAGCCGGGCATGGTGGCGCATGCCTGTAGTCCCAGCTACTCGGGAGGCTGAGACAGAAGGATCGCTCGAGCCCAGGAGTTTGAGGTTGCTGTGAGCTAGGCTGACGCCACGGCACTCACTCTAGCCTGGGCAACAAAGCGAGACTCTGTCTCAAAAAAAAAAAAAAAAAAAAAAAAGAACTGGACCTTGCAGGTGCCCTTGGACTCTGGAAGGGTCATGTCTTACAGTTTTGTTCTTCTGGTTCATACCTTCCTCAGGAAGGAGGGAGGGCCAGGCATGCATTCTCTGCCCGCAGGGCGGCGGGGCTGGGCTTGGGCGAGCCGCGTCATCAAACACGCCAGCGTATTCTCCAGGGTGCGGCCCACCAGGAGAACCCCTTGTCCCCAGGCCTGGCAGGCGGCCACCCCACGTACCTTGGCGGCGTGCTCAGAACAGAGGGCTCCGCGCGCGCAGGGGAGGTCCTGGCAGGTCCATCGTGGCGTCTGCAGGGATGACCGTGGCTCTGCTTTCTGGCGACGAGAGAGCCAAAGTAGACTGGTCAGGTTGCTCGCGGTTTTCTGGTCTGGTGATTTTCATGCCTCTCTCTTTTCTGAGTGGTTGCTTACTAGAATGAAGAGGGAAGGAAAGGAAATTCTACATTGTGTCCTTTTGTCAAAAGGGTCACATTAGGGTTAGGGGGCAGAAGGAACTTACAGAGGCAAGCGTGGGGGCAGTGAGACGCTGGCTTGGCCGCAGGTGGAGAGAGCTGGCGTTCATCTGGTAGGTGTGGAGGGGCACTGGCAGGCCGGGAAGGCTTGCTTGGGAGGGTGTCTCTTCTCCAGACCCTCCCCCTGCGAGAGGAGGCTTTGATGGTGCAGGGAACCAGCTGTCCGAAGCCCAGGCCCCACCCTGGGGGGCTCCGCAGTGGGAGCTCGAAGGCCCAGGACATCTGCAAGCGGGTGGTCACAATGGCACAGGGGCTCTGATGCTGAAAGTTACTTTGGGTGATGTCACAATTTTGGTTTGGTGCAACCCTAGAAAGGAAGTCTCCTAACAAGTTCAAACAACTTCTCCATCACAAAAGACACTGTCAGCAGGCCCTCTCCCCCCACACACAATGAATCCAATTTCTACCTGAAATTGCAGGAATGATTGGTTGGTTGGTTTTGCTCTTGATCATGGATAAGGATGCTTATGAATGGTTGTTTTTTATTTATGGATCATGTGGAAGTTGTCCTATAACTGCAATTATCTGGCTGAGGAAACAGGGCTTTTTATTTGGTCCACACTCATATATACGCTGATTTTCAGGCAGATATAAGCGCTGCAGCTTCTGTTTAGGGGTCTTTTAAAATCTAATTTAGTACAGTTTCTGACACGTGATAGATGCCGGTAGATTTTGTTGAGTTATACGCTGGAAATTAGTGTTAGAGCTACACGCCGGTGTACAGTGGAGGCAGCATTTCAAAGTAAAATCAGTACCCTCAGTCTGCCTGGTTGGTCTAAAATGCCGTTCACCCTCTGGCCTCAAGTCGGTATGGAACTGATTCTGCTTTTCTCTCTGTTGACGTGTTTCGGGTATGTCACCAACGTGTTTCTTCCTGTCTTGAATCAGCCAGCGAAGAAAAGACGAAACGTTCAATCCTGTGAGGTCTGAGAAACAACAAAAAAAGAAAAAATACTTAAAAAAACAAAACGAAATAAAAAGACAAAACTGCTAATAAGTCCAGATGAATGTATGGCCAAATGGAGGACTAACTTTGAGCCAGTGGCTGTTTTTTTCAAGATCATGGCTTATGAGCTATCTATTGTAGTAGGTGAGCACATCTGCTATTAATGTTTCTTTTTTTTCTTTTTTTTTTTTTTTTCAAGACAAAGTCTCGCTCTGTTGCCTGGGTTAGAGTGAGTGCCGTGGCATCAGCCTCGCTCACAGCAACCTCAGTCTCCTGGGCTCAAGCAATCCTCCTGCCTCAGCCTCCCGAGTAGCTGGGACCACAGGCATGCGCCACCATGTCCGGCTAGTTTTTTTCTATATATAGTTTTAGTTGTCCAATATATTTCTTTCTATTTTTAGTAGAGACGGGGTCTCGCTCTTGCTCAGGCTGGTTTCAAACTCCTGACCTCGAGCGATCCGCCCGCCTCGGCCTCTTAGAGTGCTAGGATCACAGGCGTGAGCCACCTTGCCCGGCCCACTATTAATTTTAATGAGCGTTCCCTGTTGCTTTAATAGGAATTTTGAAGGCATCTTGAAATTAACCATCCCTAAAACTTGAGGAATGTTGTGATTGTATTTATGAACTAAATGGGGCAGTTTCCATAAACCGCACGGAAATGACGACTTGTTGCTCACAAGTACGGGCTGTCACAGGGCGAGCGTGCAGCTAGGAATGGCTAATAAGCACAGTGGCGTGGATTAGCAATGACCGAGAGAAACAGAGCGTGGCGTGGAAGGACTCAGCAGATCTCTCTCCACACGACCGACATCAGTGACCTGTACCATGACGTGCTTCGGCCCGCGGTGCTAATTGCCGAAGGCGGGCTAAGCTGAGAAGGGTACTGCCCAGCCGTCCGCAGGGACCGCTGGCTGTCACATGAATGTTTCCTTTAGGTACAATAGAAGTCCAGCACTGCTCGCTGCCCGTAAGAGACATGGGAGGCAGTGGGCTCGCTCTGAGCAAAGCCGCTGTCATCGTAGCCTGGCGCTCGCCTGGCGCTGGCCCCCGTCGGAGGGCCCCAGAAAAGCAGGAGAACCGAAGACAGCTCTGAAGGCGTCCGTGTTGCAAAAGAGCCGTGTCTGCAGCTGGAAACTCGGGCTGCTCCACGCGCCTCGCAGGCCGGCACTCGGCCCGGCCTGGCGTTCGGGTTGCTGCCGTTTGGCACTTGGGGCTTTGGGTCCTGAAGGTCTTAATCTGCATTTTCCGTCCTCTGTCTGTTGTTCTGCTCGTATTTACTCCGGCTCTGCCGGTTCCTCCTGGGAGCGCTATTTGCTTTCCTTCCATAACGTCACGGGAAGGCTCATGAGGACACGGAGGGGAAACGAGGAGGCGGAATCGCCGCGACTTCTCCGCTTCGAGCCCGGCCGCGGCCTCCAGCGGCGCTCGGTCTGGGCTCCCGGGTGGTTTTCCGAGGCCACGTGTGTGAAATGGTTGATCGTTTCTTGCGAGACGCGGGCTCGGAGGTAAGTTTCCTTTAATCGGCAGTTGTTGACTAACCCAAGGCATTAAACATGTGCTACGATAGGCACGTGGGGAACGTAGAGTTAGATCGTTCAAGGATCCCTGGCCTTTTGAGTCACACTGAGCACACCTTTTCGTCTCTGTGAGATCTACCTGCAGAGTGCATTTGCCTGTGGAGAAAGCAGGCGGGGAAAGCGGTACTGCAGCTTCAGAGAGCCCTCGGTATTAGCAGCTCTCCTTTCGGGCTCCCCTTGCTCGAGCTCCCCAGCTTCCTCTAGAGCCCCTGTGCGCCCGGACCACCAGCGTCTCACGTCCTCGTCCTCGGGGAGAAGGCCGTGGTCTGGAGGCCCCTTTCTGTAGGCAGGGCCAGCGGCCAGGAGGCTGAAAGGTGGAAGAACAACCATACAGGGACCTTCTGGCTGCTCAAGGTCACCTTTGGGCAGGAGTGTCCTGTCCTGCTTCATGCTCCAGCCGCTTCCCGGCCCCTGTCCTCTGTCACCAGGGGTGAGGGTGATGGAAGAGTGTGGTGGTCGTTTGCCACTGCCCTTAATGATCAGACTAGGTGTGGGGAGGGCAAGGACAATATACATAACCTTAACATTTGTATCCTCACAATATGCTGGGGGGAAAAAATAAAATAAAAATAAAGACATTTAAAAAAAACTGTCAGACTACATTATTGTAAACATTAAGATGACTATAGATCACCACCACGTCTGTCAAGTAGTAAATTGGGAAATGCTGTATGAGCTTCAGTAAGATTTGCTCTTAATGTCACCACAAGGAATTAGCCATATAATTTGTGCATTTTAGAATGGATTAGATGCAATATTTTGGATATTGTCAGTAAGTGGGAAAATCAAGTCTAATGCATACATTTTAATTTATTGTGAAATAAATATGCCAGATTTGTCTAACAATTTAGGAACATTGCATAATTTATAGTGATAGCTCATTTACGAAAGAACTAGGATGTCTTTTTTTAAAGCCATAAAACAAACTGGAGAGTGACTCTCATCCCATGATTTATTGGTGGTGGAAGATTAATATAAACATTAACCATGATGAACACATTGTCAGTGACAGGATCACAGCAAGAAAAATACCAGCAACAATAAAAATAAAATGAATTTTACATTTCTAATCACTCTGGAGAATTTTTCGGCACAACAAAATAAGCCATTTTATTTAGCTGGTACAACATTAAAATCTTTTTTATTATGCAAACTACATTTAATGTATATTGCCTATCTTTTCAAACTAGGGTTAAACCCCCTTGAGGACAAAGGACACATCTCATGTTCTTACAGCCTCTACATCCAGGTATTACCCTACACAGAAAGGCACTTGCTAAATGTCTGTTAATGAAAATAGAAACTCAGTGATTTACATAGTTTTCAAATAAACTGGGCAATATTAGGAAAGGAGATATATGCAAGAGAGGCAATGACTTCATTTTGAATGATTGTTCACCTAAAAAAAGAAGGAATGATTTTTTTTTTTTGGTTAGAAGCAAGTTGGTGTTCAGGGAGGTGACTTCTCACATAGGGTTAGGATATAGTAAAAATTAATCTGGAAAATCCCTTACATTGACTGTAAAATTTAACACACCTGTGTGAGTATATGATCCATACGGTAATTCTTATGCACACAAGTTTCCAAAGGGAGAGATGAAAGGAAAGTCCCTAAGCAGATGTCCGGGCATCTGTCACACCCATCTGTCTAGAAGGATCTATCAAATTCCCAGGTTGGGGGAGGAGGCTAGGGAGAGATGCTGCAAGGACTCTTGCTTGCCCCAGGGCTATACTGTCTTCAATCTTTACAGCTCTAATCATATTACTGTGAGGATTCAATCAGATAAGGAGTCACCTTTTCTGTAACTTAGGCAGGGAAGAGTCAGATGCTGAAGTCAGGGAATCCACCGCCTTATGAATATGGTTTTATCTGATGTGAAGGCAGACACGACAATTTTCTGACTCAGTCACACGGTTTCAGAGCTGCTGCAGCTCCACGACGCTTCAGCCGTCCTGGAGTCAGGTTTGCAAGGAGAGGTTTCAATCCAGGGAAGGACTGCGTGATGAAGTCCCGTTCAGATGGTTACTGTTCCTGGATTTCAATGCACTACAGCATGACTGTAAAACCAAAATATCACTGATGCTTGAAATTTGATTTCACCTTGTTCTCAGGAAGACTCTGTCCAACTGTCTCAAGATGGTCACAAGGGAGATTGTGTAAGTCACAGTATATTAGTGCGATGTGTCACCATGATTGGAAAAACTGTGCAAAATCTGGTGGGCAGTCTAAAGTCTACTGTGTGTCTGAAGTTCATCACTAATACTGTTCTTGGACAAAGGTGTAGCATTTCTGTTCCATTTGTCTGAGTGCACCATGCATTTCACAGCCTTTAATGGTCTCCTTACTAATTTAAGTGCCATCCAGGGCCCTGTTTGAAACCTGCATAACGAACACAGATGGTTAAAGCTGGTGTTAAGATTTATCCCGAAACAACTTGATGGTTTAGATGCCAGGAATTCTGACTTAAGTTTGGGCTGTAAATATTGGTGGCCATGACAGCCTAACTTAGTGATGAGATTTAATCTTGCGAATTCTCTGGAGAGCTCTAGCTCAGAACGGCTCTCTGGGGAGTCACAAGAGCAAAGTTACTGGCCACATGGTTGTGCAAAAACCAAAGGATGGGGAGCAAGCTTCTGTGGACCCCATGAATTTTTGTGCTCTTTAACACTGAATATTTCCAACCAGGAGTGCAATGTAACGAACCCCTTTCCGACAGGCCTGGCGTTAAATGTCGGCAGG